CTCCTTGTCGTGGGAGGCCCCAGGCATCGGCCAACGCACTGCAAGCGGCGAGCCTTCCAGAGCAGAAGGAGCTTCAGCCGGAAGTCTTGTCCAGGTGCCCCTCCGAGAGCGGGGAGAGAGGGAGAGCCAGAGCGAGAGCCTGAGAAGCCATTTACGCCAAAGCCTCCAAAAGCCAGCTTGGCGCTGCAGCGCCTCCGAGAGCTCCCTGCGCGGCTCGGCGGCGGCGGGAGAAAATTGCGGGCCGTCACTGTCATCACCCCCCGGGCCCCATCTCCAGTCGCCGAGGCAAGAGCCGGCCAACGGACTTCGAGGCGCCGACAGCGGATCACAGCGGGACAGCGGGAGCGATGCCCCGGGCGCTGCCCTTTTCCGCAGGGCTCGCTGCCGCGCTGCTCTCTTTCAAGGCCGACGCCGGACCCCCGGCGGCCCTGGCACCGGCACCGTTGACGGGCACGCGAGACGCCAGAGAGAGAGAGAGAGGCGCTGGCGCTCTCCGCCTGCGTGAGCTAACGCAGGTCTTGGCCCATGTGGCGGAAGCTTTGAGACCGAGGCTCGGCGAGGGGCTTGCCCCGGAAGTCTTCGGTCTTTGCACTCGGCAACCGTGCTGAGAGGCTCAAGCCCAAGCTGCCTTTGGCTCTTCGCCCGGCGGAACTGCGCAGGGCTCAAGTCTTAAGTGTCCCTGCTGCAATGCTCTGGGCCTCCTTCAGCCGAGGTCCAGTACGCTGCGGGCTTGCACTGTACCAGAGGTGCGGCAATCTGAAGGGGACTGCTTGGCGGCAACATCCTTCACAGACTGAGGCGTCGACGCAGTTGTCGCGTGCACGCGGGCCGCCGGCCAGCACTTCCGCACGCAGTTGTCACGAAGTTCCAACGTAAAACGCGGCAGCCACCCGTCGCCCGCGGTTTAAACAGAACACCTGGTTGGGCCGAAGACAATGCCGCTTGTGCGACAGTCCGCAACTTGCATGTCCCTTATACATGAAATGTGCACTTTGCAAGAAGAGAGTGCTTGCTAAAATCGCGGCACAAATAAGCAGACCCACAACATCCATCACTGCCAACACACTCGCTTTAAACGCGTTGAGGTTTAGACGGTTTGAATTGGATGCTGGGAGATTTGTCTTTGGTCAGTGCCGTCACCTTGAGACGTTTAAACCGGTTCAAACTGCAAAGTTGTGCGAAGTTGTTGGAGTGAGAGAAAGTGAGCCGCGGTCAGGTCGGCGGCTGGTGGCTCCAAGCGGACTTCGCCTCGGTCCTCCGCCAGGCGGGAAAGTCTTCGCCCGTGACTCTTCTCTTCGCGGACATTCGAGCCGCGGTCAGGTGCTTTGCGGCGGCTCCAGCGGCTCCGGCTCTTTCTCTTCTTCGGGAGCGCAGGGTGTGTCGAACGGAGTGCAAAGCTCGGCCGCCACGCGCTGGCAAGGCGCGGCCGAGGCTTTGAGGTGGGAAGCTTCCTGCCACTGGTATTTGCAGTACTTTCGAGCTCTTGCAACAACTTCTTCTGTTATGCTGCCCCATGGTCTCCGAGAAACCTGCAGGGATTTGCCTTTTCAAGCAGCATCCGGAATATCAAGACAATCCACAAGATGCATGCCGCAGAATCCTGAATCCTGACGACATTGTTGCACATGTTCATCTGCATATGTTTGGAAACTGCAAGAGAGCTTTCTTGTGCATCGCAAGTAAGCGAAGTCACTTAAGGCATGTGAGGCGGTTGAGCCTCGCCTGTTACGGCAAGAAGAAGCAGAAGCAGAGAAGCCGAAGCAGAGTGTGTCTGTGTTGAGCCTTGGCGAAAAGCTGGACTTGGAGGCAGAGTGACGCTTGCTTCAACAAGATGCCGCGCACAGCCGCTTCTGCCGGCGCTTTCTCCGCAGGCCTCTCCAAGCGAGACTTGAGACTTTGGAAGCTCTAGCGGCGTGTTCGGTGTGAGGCCGCAGCCAACGCGAGGCGCACGCCTCTTTGTGAGGGTTAAAAAGCGAAGCGGCGAAGCGTGTTTGCTGCCGCTGAGTTGGACGCCTGGGAAGCCGGAAGCCCGAGACCCGGCCTTACTCGACGAGGCGGCGCTGCGGCTCGCGTGGTGCTGTGCTGCTGTGCTGTGCTGTGCTGTGCCTGCAGGCCTTGGTCAGGGTGCGGAAGGACGTGGGCTCCCGGTTTCGGGCACAGGAGCTCGGGGCTCGGCAGCTGGGAGGGTGGTGCTTGGGGCAGTGAGGAGCAGCGGCAGAGGAGAGAGCCAGAATGCAGCCGAATGCAGGCTTGCCACCACTGCGTGGTGCCCGGTCAGCCCTTTGCGCCGGGCGCTTCGCAGAACTCTGCGGGAAGTTGAAGCGGGTGCGTATCCGGGCAGCCTCGACGTGAACGTCCAACAAGACTGGGCCCGCTGCCAAGGCCGGGGCGAGGCGTTGCCGGAGTTCCTGGGCCAGGAAGCTGCAGGCAACGTCTTCCCTTCGCCCTAAGTCTTTCCAAGTTTACAACGTGCAGCTGCCGTAGCTTCCCATGCTCAGCTGCATTCCGTCCTTTGGTTCGCCAGCCGGCACCGCAGGTCGTTCTCTGGACGTGGCCTCGCGTTCCATGCTGCTGGAGGCCGAAGTCGAGAGACCCGAGAGAAAAAGGGAGAGAGCTCCGAGCTTCCAGAAAAAGGCGCTGGCATCTGCCGGTCGACTGCGCGTGCCGAGCTCAAACGGGGGCCAGGGGGGGGGCAGGCGCGAGAAGCGCAGCGCACGCAGCGCAGCGCAGTGCAGCGCCAGGCCTGCGAGGATCTCATGGGCTTCGGCCCGCTGCCCGTTTCCTGGTCCTGGAGCAATCCGGCCCTTGCTCTGCTGAGTTCCCTAAGACCCAGGAGTCTTGGGCTTCTTCCAGGCGATGCTCTCTCGCAGGCATTCGGCACAGCATGGCACAGCACTGCGCGAGGTGCCGGAGCAGTGCTGACGCTCCTCGAAACGAGAGAGCGAAGTGAGGCGTCGCGCGACACGTCAGCGTCGTGACCTTCTGAGTGCAAAAAGGGAAATGACAATAAAGCGAGACTCGGACTCGAGAGCGCCTTGGACGCGGCATCTCGCTTAGCAGCCTCGGGAGTATCGAGAGGCTGAGCCAGGGCGCATGTTGGAGACTCTCTGTCGCCGCGGCTTTTTTTGTGGGCTCAAACAGTGTGGGGGGCTGTGGGCCGTGGGGCTGTGGGGGGGAGCGGCGCATGGTGGTGGGCTTCGGGACATTTCGGGATGTTCGAGTCCCGAGAGGATCGCCTGGGCCGCAGCTCGGAGACGGAGAGCTCCGGGTCCTGCCTGCATCTGCCTGCACTGTGCTGAGCTCTGTGAGGTGATGCGCTGGCGCTGCCTGGCGATGCGGCGCATGGCAATGGGCGAAGTTTGGCGTCGAAGCTGAAGGCCTCCTTAGAAGATGCGCGGAAGCGCCCCGCCGGAGGCGGTTTGGGCGAGGCCGGGTGTAGCCGCATGTGGCAACCGGGGAAAGAAGCGCATGGCATGGCTGCCGCTTTTGGACTGTTCGACGCGAAGATCGCCGAAGTGCTCTGCTCGCGCTTGCGCGCGCTTGCCCGCAGGTGACTCCGAGTCTGCCGTCTTCCCCGCCCAAGGGAGGCGCAGAATGCGCCCGAGTCCCATGAAGAACGAAGCAACTTCTTTGGGCAGGCCACCTTCGCGCCAGCAAGCCGCTGGAAGGTGGGACGAGAAAAGAGCAAAAGTCAGAGAGACACAGATGAAGAAAGTCAGAATGCTATCAGTGCTATCCAGGCGGCCCTTCCGACTCATGCTTTCCAGGTCTCACGCAGCTGGTCGAAGGACGCTCAGATTTCTTTGCGGAGCTGGCGAAGAGCGTCGGCTACGAGGAAAGGAGGGGCGGCGCTGCGGCGGCGCATGCCGTGCCTCGAGTGTTGGGGAGGTCCAGCGGCTGCTGCGCTTCACTCTGCTGGGCTACACCAACCCGCTCACCGCCGGGAGAGCGGAGAGCGGAGAGCGGTGAAGAACTTCAGCGGCTGCGCCGCGCCGGAGCGTCCTTTGCGAAACCCGAGGCAGACCTGGAGCTGAAAGCTCAGCAGCAGATCTCCGAGGGCCTCAGGACCGCTGCAGACGCAGAAAGCGCCAGGGCCGGACGGCCGGACTTGGCGCCTAGGCGGTGAACCGCCGTTTCGAGGACTGTGCTCTCGCACCTGAGCACTTACGTGGACGAGGCGAAGAGAAGCGCAGCAGCGGACTTTAGGGGCTCCAAAGCCATGAAGGGATGAGTTGTGACTTGTCTTTGGAGGTCTTCACTGCCTCCAAGACCTGCTCTCGGGAGGACGGACTTTCCGCCTTGCTGAGGGTGCCAACAACCAGTTGTGGATCAGGATTCTGGGGGCCTGCAGCGGCAGCTTGACGCCAGCATTTCCCAGGCGGGCGCGGGGTTTGAGGCGGAGAAGTTTTGAGCTCCGAGCTCTTCTCGGTTCGCTGCTTCTCAGGGCCAGGAGTTGCAGGAGCCGACCTCTTATTACTTCTCGATGTTCGATGTGAAGCACATCGCCGGGGCGTGCTCACTTCGCTGTGCTGAGGGTGCTGGCCAAGAGCGACCGGAAGCTCTTGAAGAGCACCCAGCTCCAGAACAAGCTGCGCTCCATGTCCGGGCCATGGCGGATGCGGGTCACGATGGGCGTGCTGCGGCGGGCGGCGTGCTGTCCTGGTTTTTATGGGGAGGTACCACCAGGATCTTGAGGCGCAGCGTGCCCGGTTCAGGCCTTCCGGCGTCGATCTAAACTGGTTGCAGCGATGTGGCGGGCCATTGCTATCCTGTGCCAGGTCTCTCCTGTCCCGCTACCTCGAGTACTTCACGCCGGAGGAAACATCAGTGTGAAGTGAGGGCCTGCGCTCTTGCCGGGGATCTCCCTGAGTGAGGACCTTGAAATGGTGCATGATCTCATGAATGCCGGGAGCACTGAACTCTTCCGCTCCACAGCACAGAGCTGTCAGCCGGCGACAGTGTGCTGAGGTCCGCTTCTTCAACCCGGACTCGGCCTTGGACGAGGCGTGGCCATTTCTTGCCATGGCCTTTTGGCCTGTCGGTGTTCGCTTTGCGAGGACACGGAGCAGCTGCTGCAGCGCAAGGCACGAGACATGGGCAGAGGTAGAGTCTTTTTCTGGCTTCCCCTGCAGGCTGCTGCCCTGCAGGAAACCTTCAATGCTCAGAAGGCGGGCAGAAAGGGTCAATGGGGCAAGGGACTCTCACATCCGCCAGGAGGGCCTCATGCTCCAGCCTCTTGGCAGAAAGAGCACTGGCGGGAACAGGCGGGTTTCCTCAGGGATTGCATTTTCGCGCGAGGCTGGCGGAGCTGAGCCGGGAGGAGACGGCGATGCGGCAGAAGTTGGCCCTGGAGCAAAAGAAAGCCCCGCACCCGGCACAGGCGTCACAGATCCGCTCTCTCTGCGACTCTGCTCTTCAGCTCTTGCCCCGAGCGCTCTTCGAGCTACGGATTCTTGAGCTATCGATAAGACATCGTATACGCTATTCTGCTTGCCGGCGAAAAATCACGTTTCAATCCCATGATCATTGCTCCAGCTGTTCTGACCTGTTGATGTGCTTTGCCAGCAGACGGCACAGTAGCAGAACAAACGGCTGAGAAAGGGATGGGTGCAGGGCTCGGGGCTCAAGCCCGAAAGCCAATTCAAGAAGCGACATCGCCTGTGGAGTGTGGTGGGTCGGTGAATGTGAAGCCATGCCGAGCCCCGAGACAGAACCGACTCCGACTCGAGTCTCGCTCGAGGTCCGGCTGCTGCAGGCACGCATGGGCGAGGATGTCGACTTCGAGGGCTCGGAGGCGCCCGGGGTGCGAGCCGCGAGAAGAGCGAGAAAAGATCGTTATAAGTTGAGCCTTTCGGAAGTTTCTGCGGCTCCGAAGGTCCAGGAGGAGGCGCGCCCACCCAAACTTCGGCTCTTGCTGCTCGGCGGCTTTCGCTCTGAGACTTCGTGTCAGCTCCGTCCCCGCCCGCAGGCCGTGGCGCCGTCTCGTGAGGAAGACTCGGCGGGAAGGCAAGAGCCCGGTTTCAATGTGAGCGAATGCGAGAGTATGCGATCTGCAGGAGCCACATGGCCTTCATCAAGATTACAGCCCTTGAGGACGCCTTGCAGCAGCAGGCGATTGCTGTTCTGGCTCCAATCAGGTCGTGAGGAAAACATATGGTCAGGCTTCCTGGCTTCAAGACTTGGAGAGGAAAGACAGGAGCGATGCACTGCCCGGGCCCCATATACAACCAGATCTCTGAGAACGCGAAGAGAAGCACAGCGAGCTTGGGGTCGCCTCAGAGGGGGCGCTTGGCGGCTGCGCGCGCTTGCTGCGCTTGGCTTCCGCTTGGGGCTGAGGCAGCCATTTCAGGCCAGGCCGGGTGCCAAGCGCTCACGCAGAGTGCGCAGAGTGCGGCGCCGCTGTGGCGCCGGGAAGGGTCGGAAGAGAGCATAAGACTAGCATCAGCGTATATTTTCCCGCCGCCGCTTTTTGCGCTGTATACGCTTCTGCCAGGTCCTGCTGCGACTTTGCCTTGAGAAGGCCGCGGCTGCAAAGGCCGCACTCGATTCGGCAGCTTGGACGTCCAGATTCGCTCGACTCGAGCTGCCAATTCCCGCCTGACTCTTCCCTCCTTTCCCAGCTGAACATTGAAAGAAGAGGGAGCGAGGGAGCGAGGCTGTTCATAGAACAGGTCTCTCTCTGTCACTGCCAGCCTTTTTGCACCCCTGAAGAAGAGAGAAGCGAGAAGGAGCGTGAGAGCGGCAGAGCGGCTCGTGCCCCCTCTGAGGTGCCGTCCGATGAGCTGCACGAGTCCTCGCTTGAGCGGCAAAGGGCCGACGTGGCCGAGAACTTCGCGAAGCTGGAGGAGAACATTGGCGCATGCTCTTTAAAGGGTTAAGAGAATTCGGGGCCGAGCTCGAGGAGAGTAAGAAGGAAGCCGCCGAGAAGGAGCTGGAGCAGATGACCCAGGAGCGGGCAAAGCGCTGCGAAGCGCTGAAACGGTCGTGGCTCGTCGTGCTGCTCCGAAGCCAGGAGTTGGCGCGGCTGCGCAGCGAGGCGCGGCTGTTTCCTGGAGACCGGCCGGAGCTCTCCGGCTGCCCGGCTCGAGCCGCTCAGAGGTCGACACCGCGAAGAAGGAGGCCCAGCTGGCTTCGGCAAACGGTGCCGGCGGTCGCGAAGATGGCCAGCTGGAGCCTGGTCCTGAGCACCGCGCCATGCTGGTGTGTGCCTGTGTGCGTGTGTGCCTGTGTGCGTGTGGGTGCGTGTGTGGGTGTGGGTGCGTGTGTGGGTGTGGGTGCGTGTGTGGGTGTGCGTTTGCGTGTGAGTGTGCGTGTGGGTGTGCGTGTGCGTGTGGGTGTGCGTGCGGGTGTGGGTGTGGGTGTGTGGTGGGTGGGTGGGTGGCTGGGTGGCTGGGTGGCTGGGTGGCTGGGTGGCTGGGTGGCTGGGTGGCTGGGTGGCTGGGTGGGTGGGTGTGTGGGTGTGTGGGTGTGTGGGTGTGTGGGTGTGTGGGTGTGTGGGTGTGTGGGTGTGTGGGTGTGTGGGTGTGTGGGGGTGTGGGTGTGTGGGTGTGTGGGTGTGTGGGTGTGGGGGTGTGGGTGTGTGGTGTGTGTGTGTGTGTGTGTGTGAACCTCCCTAGCACATGGGAGCAGAGGGTCACTCCTACACTGTTTGCAATTTTGCTTTTCAACATAATCCCGACATTGGACATTTACCAAATCAACAGTTGCAGGGGGATCAGGCTTCCAGTGACTGTGTCCAACGAAGCTACCAGTGACATGGAAGGAAGGACTGAGGACCTCTTGTACCTTTTGGCAGCCCCCTGTGGTGCCAAGATTAGTCTGAGGACAGGCCCCCTGTGGTGTCCAGATTAGACAAACAATTTTTGTACGGTTGCCGCAATCTGACAAACTTTTACAACATGAACAACATGCCTCTCTTTTTCCTCTTGCACTCGTACTCTTGGCCGAATCCATCAGTGTGATCAGCGGGGGTCGTTGAGACTCCAGAGCAACGGCTTTCCGTCATGGCGCCGTGGTGACCCTCCGGGGAGACCGGTGATGAACCGGGTGTTCAGCCTTCGTTCAGATCGTTCAGATTCTCCCGATGCTATTTTATCTCTCTCTCTCTGATGCTCGCATGTGCGTCTGACATGAGTGCAGGTGCAGTAACCGACGTCTAGTGCAGTAACCGGCCGCTAGTGCACAGGATTACCTCGCTATTTCTGTCCTCTATTCGATCGCTTCTTTATTTCTCAGGGACTGCAAGGGCATGTGCAACTGACATGAGGGCAGGTGCGGTAACATTTGTCTAATGCAAGTGAAGCAGCGCTTCCTCCGGGAAGTAATCGGCCCTCTTCTTTCTTTCCGTCTTCGACCTCTCAAGACAACCAGGACAGCCTGCACTTTGCTTGTGCAACTGTGTTTGTCTCACCAACTTCGTTGCAGCTATGTGGCCGGATTATTTTACCACGCAGCCACCAGCAACACCATACGCACCAACAACCCGACTGGTGCTCAATCAGTTTCACCCGAACACCTGGGTACCGCAGTCACAAGGATACCCAGCAATGATGCCAACTGGCATTGCTGCCACTCAGCAGCACACACTGCCGACGCAACCCACTTCGATCCCCGATGAGCAGACACACAGCTTCCCCATGATGCCATGTGGACACACTGCTCCTATACCACAGCATCCGATGGTATACACACAACTCAGCACACCACAGCCCCAGCTGCCACAACAACCTCCACCCCAGCAATTCATGACGCAACATTCCCCCACTTTCTTGAACCCTGTTCCTTTGCCTACCCATCCTACAGTTTTTCCCACGAGCCCATCACCTCTGACACCGCATCACTCCCAGCCTGCCACATACAACATTCCTTTCACACCACCTGCTCCACAACCCCAACCTGCACCTTGCAGCATCCCTTCCACACAACCCGCTCAACAATCCCATATACCGCCGCCAACGACCCTCCAACAAGCTTCACAAACTCACCCCACCAATGTTACCACTACCGATGCTGCACACATTGCCCCGCAGACACCGGCAATCACCCCCCAACCCCAGCCAATAAGCACAGCCAACACCCCCTCTGTCAGCACATTGCCACCCACACAATCACCACCCGCTACGGGATCGGGAGACACTGACCCGCTCGCAGCACCTGCTTCTTCCCACCATCCTCCGTTGCCACGCAGGCGACGGCGCTCACCCACACGCAGCAGAACCCGCACCTTGAGCACTAGACTAGACGCCGACGACGCACACGCAGCAGAGCACGACCTGCCAGCAGCGGGAGACAGCACCGCCGACACAGACACCACCGATCCCGCGACACCCGCAGAAGTCGTTCTCGCAGGGACACCAGGCGATCTTCGTCGACACCTCCGCGGAACTCGGTTGTGCTCCGCAGCTATTCTACAGTGCGTGACGTTGATACCAACAAGTGGCATTACAGAGCCACACAGCTACGCCAGAGGCCACCCACCCCACCCAAGGTCCCACAAAGGACATTGGCCTCGCAGGTTCAGCGAATCGCCCTCCGCATCAAGGGCAGCCAAGCAGCACAACAGCAGCCCCCAGCCGGACAGGGCACCTCCTCCCGCCAACAGGCTCAGCACGATCCCTCCAGCTCCGTTCGGGCACCTGCCCCGACCTACGATGCCTCAACAGCCGCTGCCCCATCGGGTCAGCCAACCCTCGAACAACTGGGCAAACACAGCAGACCACCACAGATTGATGTGGTGCCATTTTCTGAGCTTTACGAACATGAGAAGCCGACTCCTCACGCCGTCGACATGGAAGAAGCTCACAAACTCGCCAAAACTTTGGGCGAGATAGCTGCTGACAGCGATTTCAGGCAGGAGACTTTGGCCGAATTTGCACATGCAGTGCTACAATCAGGCACGCGATCAGCGTGCAACGAACTTGGGGCAGTGCTGACGCCAATATCGGACGGCGTGCATACTATGTTATTCATTCCTTGGGCTGGAGAGCAGCGTAGAGCGTTCGGCACCCGTGCCACTGACCCACCAGGAGAGTCATACATCTACACCGCCGGACACGGCACGAGCATTGCAAGTGCCGCGCGCATTATGCGCGAGGACTTGGTCCGCCCAAGTTCAGTCAGACACTGCTTCGACGACAAGTCCTACCCACCCATTCCCTCTTGCGTCATTTACGGGAATGCAACCCCAGGAGATGTATCGGAAAGCACGGTCCATATAGTAACCGATCAATGTACACGGCGGCCGAAAGGCCAACAGGGAGTGCTCGTCATCGGGACAATTCGGACTAAGTATCAGCATTACAAGATGACGTATCGGGACATGTATAGAGAGGCCTTTATCGTGGGGCGAAAGGGTGTTGTGCGGACCCCAGAGAAGTGGGGATTCCACTCGGGGCATTTCAGCATCGTTGGATTCGGCCTTATTCAGTGATGTTCTGTATTACTTTCTTTCTTCTTCCGAGTCTACCTTTCACTCTCGAGTATCATTTCTCTTCCAGGCCTGAATCCCGTTGCACATAGCTGTATGCAATCAAGCATTTGCTCCGACCCCGCTTTTGAGCCAAAGAAGAGACGATGCAGCTGCATGCTGGATGCATTCCACAAGTAGATGCTGACACTCAGGCCAACTATGTTGTCCATGCGCGTGCTATTTGCAGCTTTTGCAGTCACAGGCAATTGTAGTGCCCCATTGTGCAACCATGTACAAGCCGACACAGCCTCAGTGGCACACAACAATGCCAACAGGCATCATCGGCACAGCAATCAGTGCGGTGCAGCGACAAACAGCTTCAACCAGCAGCACCCCAATGCACCCGATTTCCCCACCACCAGGGATCCACAACATCCCACCCCACACCTCACCCCAGACCCCAACCACCTGGGGTTCAGCTCACCCTTACAGCCACAACACCACTTTCCCCCCTTTCCCTCCACCCCCTCCCCCACCCCAGCAGTTTACCGTCCCAGCTTCACCCACCGCACTGCCAACCCCCACGCCTGCCACTCCCCAACACACATTTGTTAGTCCATCCCCTATGGCTACTCAAAACCCCAGCATTTCTTCACATACATTGCCTCAGGCTACCGTCACACCCCAACAACAACAACACACCAATCTTACGCCTGCAAATCCCCAGATACCAAACGACTTCGTTCAAACACCAGAGCATTGGGACAACAGACAGCTTTATGGCCTCAACCTACCCAAACACATTCAATCTACACCACATTCAGTGCACAACCGCACGGCAGGCATGCCGATCGCAACAGCACCATTGGTAGCATTTCTACGACACAATTGGTCATCATACTGGCTACGTTACGCCGCACACGGCTTTGACATCCATCTCACATGCAGCAAACATATCAGCGAAGCCGTCTTCACCACTGAGCTTATGGGTCCACTCCGAGCACGGAGAATTGATCTGGACCAAGCAGCCACCGCATTCTGCTGGCAAGAGAAGCTCACACTCGCAAAACGGCCAGCGATGTCACACCTCATCAAGGAATTGGTGTTATACCTGCAAGAGCTGCAGGACCAGTACAATGACGGCAACAAAAAGGACAAGCAAGATGTCAAATCCGACACAGACAACACACAATCCCAACCCACCGAATCTCCAACACCACTACAATCCAGCAAATCACAACCTCATCTCCCACTTCAACCTTCGCAGCCGACAGAGGCAGACACTATGGCGGCACATCGCATCAGCGACCTGGAAGCACGACTTTCCACAGCACTGGAGACAATTGAAACTCTCCGTGCTCCGGATGCACACAATGAGGCACCCAGCACACCAGCACCAAAGAAACCAAAACGAACCACCGCACCCAGCACTCCCATCAACACGCCCTCTCCACCACCTCTCTCACTTTCCACAATTGAGATTTCCCCCACCACAACCACTCGTGGACAGAAACGAGCTACCATAGATGACGCCACACACAACGACACCAGGCTTACCACTGGTAGCCTTTCCCCTTCCACAACAACAGTTGCCGAACAAGATACCAACGCGCTACATGCTTCCCCAGCATCGTCATCCACCACAGGTATGCATTTTCCGGGACGCTCCCTTCTGGGCGCCAAGCGACAGAAGCAGTCAACTCTCACACCAACGAAGGCGGCACCCCTCGATCCCAAGATGGATCCCCAGCGCATCTTTCAG